GAATTAAACTAGATAGACATCCTTAGCATCACCCCATAGGTGGAAGGGATTTGGGCAATAATGGAATGGATGTGTTTAAAATCAATGGTGTAGATTGCTGCCACACAAAAGAGTGTCAAACTTGTTGTCAACCATGACATACATATAGCACGATCAATTTTAGATACGCTCTTGTATCGATTAGCTTTGTGTTTGGGTTCAAAAGTAAGCAAGATATATATTGTTGTGTATTGCAGGCGAAGTTTTCAAGTATTAGTTGCACACACGATAGCCAAGCTTATATCTCTAGCCGTTACCCAGCTCTAAAGTAAGTGTTGGATTTTAGTGATTTTTCATTTGAATTTGCATGACTTGTATACGTGATTAATTGATTCATACTCAATATTTAATTTATTAGCCCTAAGATATTGTATGTGAAAAAGAAAATTAAACTTTTTGCCATTGTCGGCATATTTTCCTGAATGAATGCTAACAAATAATGATAGAAAATGAAAAGAATTCTACATTTTTGTACATCAAATTTGGCATTATTTTGTTGCATAATCAGCTGCAATAAAAAACGGAAGGCAAAACTTGGATTCTTTTATTCATAATAACTCACAATGACACAAATAAGACATGTAATGCTAAAGTTGCATTCATGCCAACTTCATAAAAACTAATCGAAAAGAAATTAAGATAAAAACTAATTGAATCTTAAGATAATTTAAATATAATCTAAAAATTATGTATCGAAGTTTTTTATTTTTAAAACCCTAATTGGCTAAATGAAAGATGCACCATTGCCTTTTAACATGCTGAGTTCTCATTTCGTTTTTATCTTCTTATACTTCAACAACGCCAGAGTTTCATGTTTCAGAGCTACCAATTCTTTTAGGACTTCTCCTTCCTGTGAACAAATATAAGAAGCGAATTGTAAATTAACTAGAAGTTATTGATAAATGAAAGTTTTAATTTAAAAAGAGAGAATAAAATTACTTACCTCATGATGAATGGGAAAATTCCAGCATGCAACCCCATGAAAGTACCAGAGTCTAATGCTCCTAAAACCGAGAAAGGAGACCAAAAGTGTGATCTGGGCGGCGTAACCAGATAAATTATGTACAATTTTAGCCAGCCAGCTCATGCTTGGAAGAGTACATATATAAAATAGAAACAACACACCATTGAAACCGGCGTAATAATCCAAATGTAGTCTGCCACTCTTAAGGAAACACACTATCAATGCTTTCTTTGCGACTCTCAATGCTTTCAATGCCAAATTTAACACTGTCAAAAATTTTAAACTTTTCATCAGCAACATGTGGTTTATATAATTGAATCACATGACAATGCTGAAAATTAATTACCAAAAATTATGAATCATTAAGGAGGTCATATTGGTGAGTCATGTGTATACTAATTAACCCAAAAATCTCATCTAAGCAGAAAATACGAACAGAAGGCACAAAGTTCAAAATTTTGAAAAATAAATTACTTACAACCCATTTGATTTTCTTGAAGTTGGTCTTGAATTTTCCTGCTTTAAAGATTGTATATCAAACCAGAAAATAAAATTAGCCAAACTAAAAATAATACAATGGAGCTAAAAAATTAGAAAATTTTAATGTCAAATTTCAAACGAAATATTTCTCTACAACAACAATCCAAACAACAACAAAAATTTAAGAACAATAAGAATACCTAGAACAAAGAGAAAAGAGAGGAAACTCACTTGGATGGAAATTGATTTATCTCAGCAAGAATAGTCACCTAACGGCCGACGATTTTTACGAGAAGAGATGAGTCGGAGAGGTGGATAACATGCTATTTTATAGGGAGAGAGATGATTAATTTCCGAGGTCAATAACAATATTATTTTCCGTCAAAATAGAGTCCTTAATGAAAGTTACTTCTCCAGTAAATTTACAATTAAATATTTGTTCAAATATATCCATCCACGGGACATATAATTAAATCTAACAGAAACTCATCATGTGGGG